CGGGACTAGGGTTGATGGCGCCCTGGGGGTTTAGGAGAGGGGGCTGTTTAACGGGACTAGGTTTGATGGCGCCCTGGGGGCTTAGGAGAGGGGGTAGCCGACGGCAGTGGTGGGACTAGGGTTGATGGCGCCCTGGGGGTTTAGGAGAGGGGGCTGTTTAACGGGAGTAACGGGACTAGGTTTGATGGCGCCCTGGGGGTTTAGGAGAGGGGGTAGCCGACGGCAGTGGCGGGACTAGAGTTGATGGCGCCCTGGGGGTTTAGGAGAGGAGGTAGCCGACCGCAGTGGCGGGACTAGGTTTGATGGTTCCCTGTGCAAATATTTGTTAAAGGAGCTTTATGGAAAAAGTTAGAAAGATGAATGGGCAGTGGATATATTTTATAATTATATTGTATAACAGCGAAGCGAGCGACACTCGATGGTTAGTTTAAATTAACAATTGAAGAACTTGTTTTGCACCCTGTAGCTGATTGGTGCACTTTGCAGCCTCCTGCCTCTGGTTCTAAACGCTCTAATTATTTTTAGCTCTGCCGTCTGCTGACACAGCGATGTGTGACCACGGATCTTACTCATGGAGAATTACAAGAACACAAAAAACAAAACATGGAATATGTACTAGCTCACGATGTGGAGTAGGGGAGTGGGAGGCATCATGACACCATTGAGACACCTTAGTAAGACGTAAATAAATGAAGGAATTGGATCTGGTAGATAAAGCAACCTTCAAGGTGCAGATAATGTTTTCTGAGAATACGGATGTACCAATTATGAAAGTTACAAAAAAATTGTTGAACAATTCCATTCTTTAACATGCTCAGTGGCGGCTCCAGTGGGTTGGGACCAGTACTAGCGGCAAAAATATGTGTCATTAATAAAAATTAAAACTACTTTAGACTTTCATTTTTCCCAGGAGGGAGGAAGCTAATGAAGTTTCTAGGGTTATTGCCACCCGGGGCGTGCCAATATTTTTGACGCCCCTAATTCTCCTTCACGAAAAAAACTATACAGTTGACCGAATATGCGGCCCCTCAATATATAGATAAAAATGTGGCCCGGTGCAGCCTGTTCCGTCCCAACCCCTCCCTTTCCCTAACCAGGGGAGGATGCCCCTGAATGAATGTTCCACTCAGAGCCGTTCCTGGGTAAGAAACAGCAAAGGCGGCACAAGTAACTTTGGAAAGTCAAACACAATTTTTTAAAAAATGTAAAACAATGGTTTGTCATTTAACTTTTAAAATATCTAACGGTGATCTCAAAATGTCGAGTGAACCAGGCCTCACTGATTCTTTACTGGCTGGCCACCACTTCCTCCTGTGTTGACCTCTACACTGGCTGGCCACCACTGCCTCACTGATTGACCTCGATACTGGCAGGCCACCACTTACTCCTGTGTTGGCCTCTATACTGCCCGGCCACCACTTCCTCCTGTGTTGGCCTCTATACTGGCTGGCCACCACTTACTCATGTGTGGGCCTCTATACTGCCCGGCCACCACTTCCTCCTGTGTTGGCCTATATACTGGCTGGCCACCACTTCCTCATGTGTTGACCTCTATACTGCCCGGCCACCACTTCCTCCTGTGTTGGCCTCTATACTGCCCGGCCACCACTTCCTCCTGTGTTGGCCTCTATACTGGCTGGCCACCACTTCCTCATGTGTTGGCCTCTATACTGGCTGGCCACCACTTCCTCCTGTGTTTCCTAAGCTCTGCCACTCCACCAAGTAGTCTACAATCTTCATGCATTGTAAAATATCTGAATGACTTAATTGATGAGATTATGTACATATATGCAGTGGCGTAGCTGGGCTTAGAGCCGCCCGGGTGAGCCAAGATTTTTGACGCACCTTCCACGAGAAACACTTTTCTGTTGGCCGAAAATGTCCCAGCCCCCCCCCCCCCCCGTTTTTTTTTTACAATTAAGGAGAAAAAGTGCCACCTGAATGGACCAGCCCAGCCAGCCCTCTTCCTACACACACACACACACACACACTCATATATTTATATATATATGTATATATATATATATTTTATATATATATATCTATTTATATATGATACATAGTCGCATTAACGAAAAAGAAGGACATTGTTATTTTTATCAACAGATTGAAATAAAAAAAAAATTATTGATTTCTTACGTATACTCCGAGGGTGTATTTGTGTGTGTGTGTTTGTGTGGTGGGGGGAGGTTAACAAAAGACTGAATCGGCAAAGTTGACAAAAGCCCTAAAAAATTTAACAATTAGGACGGGATGTCAAAAAAAATAACTTAAAAAATCAAGCTTGACCCCCGGTGTTGGATTTGGGGGGGGGGGGGGGCAATGAAATATGTAGGTGCAGGCCTGTCGTTTATTTAAGTAGGCCTACATTAAGTACACTTTTTTTTTAAAAATGGATACTTTGACCTCTTGGATCCGTCATTGCGCACTTATCTAATTTCACGTACAGATTGCATGACAACAATTTTTGGTAAAATTAACTTCGGAATGTGGAATTCGTTTTCCAGGTTTATAATTATACTTATACTTAATTAAAATACTTTATCTGTACGACGATTTTTCAAAGAAGTTTCCTCACCAAAATTAAAATAAACAACCCGAGTCAGCATAAACATTATCTGCAATAATGAAATGCAGCGATTATAATTAAATGAATCCTTTTAATTCGACGGCACCGCAAAACTTACACGCAAAATAAAGTTGTTAAGAACTATATTTTTACACAGCGGACCGATCGCAGCCCATGTACTGCGGCTTGCACCTGCAGTGAGAGGAGAGAAAAAAATGCGAACGGCATATCAATGCGCCGCCGTACCATTGTAGGCAGACGAGGGGTTTAAATGACGGACTTTGTGTGTAGTTATTTACGGAATTCAACTTTGATAGGCTAGTCCGAGGACCCTGTTCGGGGGTTATGGCACTTTACAACGGCGAGGCCAAGAAAGATGTGAACATTTACAGGGAAGGAGGTCATACTTTCAGTGTTACTAGTTTCAGTAGTGCCGGGAGTGTTGTTCGAACCGGGAACCGAGGCGGCCAACAACAGTGGCACGATGTGAAAATAAATGTGGTGAGTTCGAAACCCTCGGATAATAATACTACTAGTTGTGTTTTTGTACCAGGCACGTCGGATTTGAATTCTGCTACCACGGTGGGCGGAGCCAAGGAGGGCTATCAAAGTGATTTCGATAGCGGTGGTAGTCCCAGGTATAATAATAATAATAAACAAATTGTGTATTCGCCCGGGTTCCTCCAAGCACAGGGGAATACGTATACATCGACGCCTCATCAGGTAAGGGGTGAAGGTGAAAACATGCACAGCGGTAGCCTACAGCACAGCTCCGATCACCGCGCGACTTTTGTGAGCAGCATCAACGTGAGGGACTCGAAACCCCCTCCCATTCCGTCCCCGATGCTGGGGCCGGGGGGCAATGTGGGGCTCACGATTTCGACCAGTTGTCCCGCTCATTACCAGTCGGTCCACTGGCAGGGTGGGAAGGCAGTGCCGCCACTGGGCGTGTCGCTGCCGCACTCGCCCGATAGGAATGTATTGATCGCCGGAAATCGGTATCCCGCCTCCAAGACCACATTAATTAACCCGACGGCCCGGAGCAGCAGTCCCGGACAGTCGCAGCAGATCAGCGTTCAGTACCAAACCGTCTACCACCATCATGGACTGCCTTCTGGAAACGGTAACTCGAATTATTCGAGCCCTCGATCTAGCATCGGCAGCGGCGATTCGAAAAACTCCAGCCCCCGCACTAGCTTGACCAACCCGGCTTTGTATGAGCAGAAATTCGGGAGCCCGAGGTCAAGCCTTGCACTCGCGAGCCCTCGGTCGAGTTGGAATTCCGTCACTGGGATTGATTCGAAACATACGAGCCCGAGGACCAGTTTGTCCGGGCCCCAAGATCGGATACTTATACAGCGGGTCATCGGTGGACTAGAGCACGAGCTGCTCTCCCAGAATCACGCGAGCCAGTCTATAATAAACCTGGGGCTTCGGGGTGACCATCCACTCAACGATAACAGATTCAACGAACCGGCGCCCCCGCACATCTACACCGATCCCCGCCAGAGGACTTTACCCCCACAGGCGGCAGTGAGTGTCCACACATCCACTTACGCCACCAGCGTCAACAACAACAACATGATGCACCAAGTGCAGAACGGGGATTCTCACGCCGTCATCTCCTCGCCGAATAACAACTCTGTCAATTCCAGCTACAGCTCGTCCAACGGTGGGCCGCCCTCGATTCCCGCTCGGGTACCCTTGAACTACAACGGTTCTCAAAATTCTGACGCGGAAAAAGCCGTGGCCGCTCTGACCCAGCAGCTGGAGAGGGACATGAGTTTCTCGGGCTCGGCGTCCAAGAAGAGCCCCGAATCTCCAGGTTCTCAAATGGAGCCCCCGCCCCCTTACCACGGTCCTCACGATGTTCAAACCTCGGTGAAATTTCACAACCAGAACCAGCCCCAGAAGCCGAACGTCAAACTTGTCGCCCCAGTTCAGGGCATTCAGGTGCAGTCGGGGTCCCTAGCCTCGTCCAGGAACGCCCCGGGTGTGTCACCAGGCTTGAAGTCTCACCTAGCGTTCCAGGTGACTCCACCCAAGAGTAAAGGGCCCTCGGATGCCGAGAGGAAGCTGGCGGCCCTGACGCAACAGTTGGAGGATGAAATGGATCACATCGCAGCAGGGGATTATTTTGGTAAGTTAGTGACAAGTGTGATAACTTACAGCTTATTTACTTCTGTGTAGTTTTATATACACAGATTCTTAAGTTATGATAGCAATATCTTACAGCTTCCGGTTTGGAAACTTATTTTATGATAACAAAATTTGATAGTTTATGACTTATGACCAGATACCAATGTTACAGTTTCTATTATAAGTTGTTTTTGTTTTTTTCCACCCTGACCCAGCACATTTTGAGGACCTCTGATAAGTCTATTTTAGTGGGTAACCAAGATATGGGGAATTCCCTTAAAAAGAATGGCTATGTACCTTCCAATAACCGAGGCCTAGCCAAGGGCCTAAGGTTTTGTTTGGATGTGGGGATAGGTACATAGACTTAGACATTATGTTAATGTGTGTGGAAATGTTTGTAGACTATGTTGTGTTTTGATTGTATGGAAATGTTTGTAGACTATGTTGTGTTTTGATTGTATGGAAATGTTTGTAGAACATGTTGTTTTGATTGTGTGGAAATGTTTGTAGACTATGTTGTGTTTTTATTGTATGGAAATGTTTGTAGAATATGTTGTTTTGATTGTGTGGAAATGTTTGTAGAATATGTTGTTTTGATTGTGTGGAAATGTTTGTAGAATATGTTGTTTTGATTGTATGGAAATGTTTGTAGAATATGTTGTTTTCATTGTATGGAAATGTTTGTAGAATATGTTGTTTTCATTGTATGGAAATGTTTGTAGAATATGTTGTTTTCATTGTATGGAAATGTTTGTAGAATATGTTGTTTTCATTGTATGGAAATGTTTGTAGAATATGTTGTTTTCATTGTGTGGAAATCTTAACATTAAATCTCATTGTATCTCTATTTATTAATTTAGCTTTGTCCTAATTTGAACATTTAAAATGAATGCCCATGGAGGGAACACATTTGTCTAGGCTATTTGTTTAAAATTTGAGTTAACAAAATTAAAAACTAAATCAAAGTTGTCAACTGTTGATAAAATATTGATTTTGCTCTGCTGGTGAAGGGTATATGCTATATAAGTTATTATTCAAGTTATTATCAAGGACATGGTTATATGTCCATATCAACTACAACCAGAGCTGAGGACCATGGTAATATGTCCATATCATCTGAGGACCAGAACTGGGGGACATGGTAATGTGTCCATATCAACTAGGAACAGAACTGGGGACTGTGGTAATATGTCCATATCATCTGAGGAACAGAACTGGGGACCGTGGTAATATGTCCATATCAACTAGGAACAGAACTGGGGACCGTGGTAATATGTCCATAGCTACTCACCAGAGCTGTGGCGTGGATATATAAGGGGCCCAAAGGTTTGACGTGGACAAAATAATAATTAACTTTGAATGCGGGGAGGGGGGGGGGGCAAAACCCAAAATTGTCAGTGGGTCTCCAAAAGTCACGCGGCGGCTCAGGCTAAGACAATGGCTCTGTTATATTTCATGGAATAAGTAAGACCTCTGATGTACTGAACTAAATGCCAACAGTTTATGGTCATACATGAGAGTCAGGCTAAGACGCTGAAACACATTGTTTGCTTTCAAATGTACTAAAATGACTGGACTGAGTTGAACTATGTTCACCTTCCATTACTTTAAACTATCATGTCACGTTGAGCTGACCCAGTTTGTAATATTTACCCCATACAATCGAGTCACATCATGTGACTGATGTTAGGAAGACATGTTTACTACAGCTTGTGAATGGAAGGTGACCGGTCTTTGAAGATTTTTTTTTTTTTACAAAGTAAAATGTAGTCTAAACATGGGCAGTAATTCAGATTTCAGGGGTAGATAATGAACTTGTGTTACTGCTGGAGATTTATCTTCCTCTTTTCCTGCCACCCTACAAAATGGGTTCCCAGACAACTGAACGCACGACAGGTGAACCTCCGACAACTGAACCCAAGACAACTGAACCCATGACAAGTGAACCCACGGACAAGTGAACCCACGGACAAGTGAACCCACAGACAAGTGACCACACTGACAACTGAACCCATAGACAACTGAACGCACGACATGTGACCACAAACATAATGAAATTGAATAGAATTTGTGTTAAATTTTAAAATGCCCGAAACACTTAGAAAACGTGCCACATACAATTTAAATACACATATATTTTTATAATTAGTTTCATTGGTTAATAAATTAGAGTTAAAAATAATTCTCCTCAGCAAAGCGTTGCGGCTTTAAAAAATAATTTAAAACCGAGCAATAATAAAGTTGGCAAATTATTTTAGCTTTGCAAATAGAATTAGAACGCAAGTTTTTTGTTCTTCTCAAGAAATGTAAACTTACGGACACTCTCAGATCGACTCTGACAATGAAATGTATTTCTTATATAATTAAAATATGATGAGCGTACTGCCTAATGCTATCATCGGCAATATCGCCGTAAACAAGTAGGCCCTAGCCCTAAGCTTAACTTTAAGTATTCTTTCCAGATTTTGAAATTCGGTTCTGCGCTTTTACACACACACACACAAAGTAAAGTGTTCTTTTTACACTTTTACTTTTACCTGCCTCAAGACAAAATGACATACTTTCCAGAATCATACCAAATACCATACTATTTGGGATATTTTAAGATTGTTGACTTTTATTGAGTTTGTATTAATTTATAATTGACTTGATGCATATTAAATAGTAGGCCTAGCAGTAATCCTATCATATAATACAGCTTTGCTCAACTATGCGAAATAATTTTAAATACAATCTAAAAAAACGTGTTAAGTAGAGTTATAATGAAAATAAATTAATGTAAGCTCGGATTTTTTTTTTTATTTATTACCGGGTACTTTTTCCTATATTTGTTAAACTTCCATGAATTATCCCATTTTTAATTTATTGTATAGAAAAACTAGACAACATACAGTATAGACACTATATATAATGAAACCAAGAACCCTAATTAAAGTCATTTTTCATCCTAAATAAAAACCAATAAAGCCTAGACTCCCCCCCTTTTACTGTGTTATAAAGTTATAGTTAAGGTTGATTAAAGTAAAGTGTCTTGGAACATGCTACCATTTTTAGTTATGATTATAACAGTCTAACACTACTTTTATGTAATCTCTTGGTAGCAAAGGCCCACTAGGAATAGTGTGACATTATTTTAATAATAAGTTATAATAAAGTTTCTTTACATATACTATAATGGTTTTCTTTTATATTATTTAGGCATATCAACAAGTATAAATCATCTTGTGTTTTTAATTTTAATCTACATTGTAGTTGTAGTGTCAATTTCAAGTATAAGTACAAAAATATTAATTTCACATGTTCTTTTTTCGTATTTATATTATATTGTGATTAAGTATTAAGTTATATATTAACTATTCTTATGCTGAAGCTGAAGTCCAGTACAAGTTCTAATTTATATATTATTTATATTAAAAATTCAAGTATTATACAAAAATGCATACTAGTGTTTAGAAATATTTGTTCAGTTTGCATATTGTTAGTATAGTATAATAAAGGCATATAGTTAAGTAGATAGATCAGAGAGCAAATAACAGTGACAGTATTGTCAAAGATCTAATTCAGCAAGTAATTACTGAATATTTTAATGTACTATTTAGCTAGTGTAAACTCAAGGATTACTAGACTAGTATGTTACATTATTTAAAAAACTTAATTCTGGCTTGAAGTAAAAATATTTAAAAAAAAATAAATTCAATTATATTTTTACCACTATTATGTCAATATCCAAGTCTATATTATAAGTTTAAGACATATTCTTATAAGTTGTAGTCAATCCATGATTTATATTTGTATGGTGAAATTTTGTCAAATTAATATTAATATGTTGCACAAAATACCATTTTATTTTTTATGGAATGAAGAATTTTGTTTAATTAAATTTTGAAACTTTTATTTTTATTTTTTTTCATTCTTCCTATTTTGTGAAACTTTTGTCCAAATGACTTGTCTAATTTAGTACTCTAATGAAGTCTAAAGGATAAAAAGTACTCAACAATTAAAAAAAAGATATATATTACAAAATATACAACAAATTAAAAATATGATTAAAAAAAAAAGGAAGAATGCCTAGAATTATATAGAATATGTTTATTATCAAACATAATATCTGAATTCATGAAAAATAATTCTGAATAATGACTTTTAATTCATTGCAGATTTGCCATAGTAAAATATCTTATCATGTTTATTTTCATATCCCTGAACTGCTAATGCCACCTGATCATCTAGAAGTGCATATTTCTTCTTTTTTTCTGGTTGATCCATTGCTTTTGCCAAAGTCAGCCTTTGACAATATATATCCTTCTGAAGACCCTCAAATAAATTCAGATACTTGGATTGCTGCAATGAAATAATGCATTGAAGCCATTATGAAATCCTTCACAACAATTAGTAGTTTTTGGTGACCTTTCCATAGCAGCATCATATTGATTCCAAATTTTAATTGGACATTGTAACTCTCTACCTATTGCACCTTCAATGTAAGTTGAAAAAAAGTAGGTCAGTACTTCATTATACCTTCCATCATCTGGGAATGTTGCTGCAAGAGTATCAAACATAGCTCTCACATCATTTATAGGTACAAATACTAATGCTGCCAGAGATTTTAGTTTTAATTTAAGTTCAATGTCTGTCTCAAAATCAGATTTTAGGCCAACACAACTAATTTTTCTAATCAAATTCTGGCATAAGTGAAAAAAACAACCCTTAACCTCTGCACTTGGGAAAGCTGTATGAACTGCACTCATAAAGGCTTTTTCAAAATCTACCAAAACTGTTTGAGGGGATAAGTTTGGCAAAAGTTGTTTCAGAATTTCACACATGTTGGTATATGTTTGAAGGTTTTTTCTTTGCAAAAGAAAATATATGCATGGAGGGTAAGCATTACCAACTTTCGTATGCCATGTGTAAAGTTGGTAAAACAATTTTGGCACTTTGTCAAATGGTTCCATCCCCATAAATTTCATTCTTGTCCAATTCAAGTAATAAATCTTTATTCCTAATTGCTAGAATTC